ACAATAGTCTTGCCCGGCTCACATCATGTGACTCTGTCACGGTAATGATATATGTTGTTTGAACAAGCGCCCACTAAATATCTGTGCTGTAGATTGCGAAACCAAGGCAAGCATGACATGACTCTTTTCTTGCAACTTTGTATATTTACAAAAGTTTAATCTCCACCATTTCGCAGACCCTTTTGCATGAAGAACTGTGATTTAAATGGCTGGTTATTTTATTGATGTGCTGGAACAATGGGGTAATATCATAGGGCAACACGTACTGCATGGGGTGCAATTCTTTGCGAAAAATTTGGTGCTTTTTTCAAATTTGGAGGCCTGTATCATTTTGTTAATTACGTCTATCGAAGCAACTGCATTTGCTGTAATCTGCATATGCCAAAATCGTAAAGGTTTCTATATTATTCTGTAAAGCAGCCACAAAGTAAAATGTCACAGAAGGTGAACGAACATGGAGAAGTATAGATTTCTGTAAATGCATTCATTGTTCATCCAAGAAGTTTTCACCAAAATGGAGATTTAGCGAGAACGGTGCGCAAACTTGACCTGTTACATCTCCGCGCGCTATCGAGTACCCCTGAATAATTGAAATAAGTTGTAGTGATTATCTCAGCATCAAAACTTATTTTCGACTTGTCCCTTTTTTAACACACCACAACTTGCATTGCTTATACAGAATTTTCTTACTGACGGGTCACAGAGGGTCAAGTCCAATAATAGGGTATCTGGTGTAAAGTTGTTGAGTTTAGGTGCGTCTCAAGGCTGTGTGATTTCCCTTGGTTTGTTGTCAATGTATACTAGTGATGTTAATAATCTGAGCCCCAACTGCAGCATGATTAAATATGCAGACGACACAGTCATCAGCATTTTTTGCATAATTATTCATCTGAGCATTTTAACACGGTTCAGAAATTTGTAGTCTGGTGTGATCATCATCATTTAGTTCTCAATGTTAACAAAACGAAGGAAACTGTCTTTGATTTCCGTCGGTCGGCAGCTGTCCACGAACCTCTGGTTATTCATGATTATCCTATTCAGCAAGTTTCTGAATACACGTATTTGGGGACTGTGATTGATTATAAACTTACATGGACTGACAACTGCAAGACTGTGGCAGGAAAAGCAAATCAAAGATTATTTTTCTTGAGGAAATTGAAGGAATTTCATGTTGACAACAGGTTTTTAATTCTGTTTTATAAGTCTCTTATCCAGAGTATTCTTACCTTTTGTTTCATTTGTAACTTAGGTAACTTGTCAAAAGAAAACATAAAGAAGTTGGAAAGACCAAGGAAGATTGCCCAGCGCATCATCTGCACAAACCTATACCGTCAATCGCTTCTTTGTATGAGCAGCGGGTTTTGTTGAAAGTTCACAAAATAATGCAGGACCCCTCACATCCATTCAATGACCTTTTTAAATTCAACAGATCAGGTATCCGTCTTTGTGTCCCCACACACCTCACGTTGTCGCACTAGGAATTCGTTTGTTCCAAATGCTATCCATCTGTTCAATAGGTCTGTGAATAGGTAGTTATTGATAGTACTGTCTAAAGAGCCGTCAATTCGTTTTAATATGTCATTTGTATCCATGGGGTTGGCTTTTTATTGTTGCGTGCTATGTTGACTTAAGAATTGTTTGTGCAATGTATCATGGTCCTCTCCATTTTACTGTATTGTATTGGTTTATTTTTTGTGTTGTGTGAGTTCAGTGATCTGTGTATATCGTACTATATATGTGTTTTATTGCAGTTTTATGTAATGTCATTGTTCAGAAATGCCAGTGGAAGCTAAATTTCTATACTTTTTAGTGTGGATAATAAACTTGAATTTGAATTTGAAGTTTTCTATATATCCCTGCAGGATTTCGTCCAAACTTATCAATCGAGGTGCCTAGACCATGTTTGGGGTCAACAAATTCATTAAAGCCATTTTTCAACGACTAATTTATGTATTTTATGCATAATATGCAAATTAGTATCCGCCGTCATCTAAAATTTAACTTCAATCTATATATCCGCAAGAATTTGTCAAATCGTATCAAACGAGGTGTCTAAACCCATGTACTTATACCGGTAGGGTCAAAGAATGCATTCAAGTCATTTCTACAATGATGGTGTATATATTTTATGCATATTATGCAAATTAGCACCCGTCATTATCAGGAATGATTATAACATCCATCTTGAACTGTTGTTTAATTCCACTTTGGAATAAAAATTACTTATAGGTTTTCCATTAGATTAAGGGGACAAGTGGCAGAAGTTTTTGAGTTTAGTCATTTATTTTCCTGCTCAAACAATGACGCGTTCAAGTTTGATTTTCAAGCTAGTAAATAATTGTAAGTGGAACAAACATTACAAATTTATCCCTCTTCCGAAATGTAAGGATTGTGACGAAAATATGCTGACAAATTTCAAGCGCCAAAGAATAAAATCTTTCTGAACTGCTATAAACTGACCCCCAAACATCAGGTTCAGCTATCAAAAAGAGAAGGTGGTGGTTTTTTTAACACCACCAGAAATTAACACGACGGATAACACAAGTAGTCACAAATAGGTTTGGATTTCAAAATACCGCATGGAACCGCAAAGGATTGTATAGTAAAAGCTCCGAGGTTCTAAATATAAAATAAGAACGACATCAGTTTCATGTTGTCGCATGAGATACAGGTTCCGATCCCGTTAGCCAGATGGTCGAGTGGTAAGATGTCTGCACTAGAAAGCAGGAGGTCGTGGGTTCGAGTCCCACCCGAGTAATTTTTTCCAACTTTCACTCGGGAGGTAACACACTGAGTATATAGTTGTACATCAGATTTGAACCAGCCAACCGATCCCGTTAGCTCGGTGGTCGAGTGGTAAGACGTCTGCACTAGAAAGCAGGAGGTCGTGGGTTCGAGTCCCATCCGAGCGATTTTTCCCGCTTTGACTCGGGAGGTAACACACTGAGTATACAGTGTTTATACGTCGGTGAAGGGTAAAACCTAATTTGATTTACATTACCCCGACACAAAATTCTACCTTATGAATAACACGCACAATAGTTATGTCAGACATGACTTGTATTTAGAAATTCATATTTTGCCTGGCGGGTGTACAATGCTAACCATGTAAATATTAGGGATGTGGGTGGGCATTATACAATCATAAAGGCATGTTTATCACTCTAAAAAGAGATTGGTCAAAATAACCAATATTGGTTGATATCTGTCCAACCAATCCGATTGGTTGGACACATATTAACCAATATGTGGCATGAAAAAAAAACCGCTTTGAAAAACGTAATACGATATTCGCACGGTTTCCTTGACAGTTTGAACAGCAATATGTTGCATCATTGCTCCGAATCTTTTTCTCATTTCCAAAGAGTGTAACCAGCTAGCTCCAGAGTGTCAAAAACACTGATTTCAGATTGCAATCGCTGCATTTGAATAAGGTGGATTTTTTTAGAAACAAGAGAATATTTTAAGCAAGTTTTCACTCCATCTTCGTTTGCATGAACGGTACACTAAGTCTGTAAGTACTGTTTTGGTTGGTTCATCGTTTCAGTGATCGTTTGGCCAACTTCTATACACGAAATCAAGAATTGGTAAAACCATCCGTTTGTCGGTGTTCGAGATTTTGAACACGCATAACATGGCAACTTCAAAATTGAAGTAAATGTAACTAAACCTTACACGGTGGTCATAATTATTTTAAACTTTTACCCGAAACCGGCAGAATTTTCTAAAAAGCCCATTCAGGCAAAAGATATAGTGCCAAACATCATGTGACGTCTTTCTTGTGGTAGAAATATAGAAGGAAAATGAAAATTCATCTAATTCTGAAAGTAGCAATCGATTACATTCAAATTTTGGGATGGGGTAAAATGTTACAACTCGTCAACAAATCACGACAATGACATTCAAAGATATTGATCAATTCACCACATGGTCATTTTTGTTCTAAGTTGTTCTGCTTGTGCTCTTCAACAATAAGAATATTCTGGCTTCATTTTGACGTAGGCAAATCAATTTATTTCGTCCAATTTCTCATTTGCAGGATTTTTGGGAACAAACACGAAAATAGCATAGGAAGAGCGATTCGAATTTTGTTTTTGAATCCAAATCAATTTAATATTATACTACATATTAGCGTTTCGATTTTCATATTTGATTCCGCCGATGAAATTTCACTGAAAATGCATACACGTTTCAGTCCAAGAGAATACTAAAGTCGGAGAATTATCACAAGCTTGCTCGGGTTGGGCTCGAACCCACGACATCCCGCTTAACTCCCATCGCCCAACCGTCCCCGGTGAGATCAGAGTGAACGAGACGTCTGCACGTATGTAGGAGGTCGCGGGTTCGAGTCCCACTGAATCAAAGTCGTAAATTTTAATGACAAGTTCTCGGGCAGGCTGCGACAATCACTCAGTATACAATGCTTATTCAATCATGTCGGTGAAGGCCAAATCTAGACTCCACCACAAAGTCGATTCTAAACGTGTAAAAACTGTTTACAATTTACAAGTTTTCTTCGAAGGTCGAGTGCCTATTTGAAATCAGTTAAACACTGTTAAGTCCATTTAATACACGTCTCTTAAAATACTTCCTGAAAATCTATTTTTGTCCTCTGAAAATACATGATTAAAATAGGATAGAAAACAACTTATTTTCGTTTCAAAACATTAATTTTTGCTTAACAAAAGTTACACAAACCGTCGGACAATCTATTTAAGCCAAACATGGTAGACATTTTAAATTTATATTAATGGAACTTTTCCAACAGTATAATGTAAAAATAAAAAGCCTTCTTCGGTAATCTCTAAAACTGGTGAGTTTATCGTCAGGACTTGGGCCGGAGCTACGGGCAGGTGGTCTGAGCTTGATTCCGCAACATCAATCACTTCGGTCTTCTCTCTCAAGGTCTTGATCAATATAGTGCTAGTAAGATAGCACACGAAGTGTGTATATTAATTTCTACAAGTGAAAAAAAGAAACCGCAAGGTTTATCGACTTACCGAAATGAGCAATTTGCAGCAGCGACTTGACAAATGAAAACCTCTTTCTCTCTCCTGCTTCACTCTAGTCCTCAGCCGGAAGAGAGAACACAACCAGAAATGTGCCTCCTCGTAAAAGTAATACACTTTAAATACCGCTCGCTCTGATAATGACAGCGCGCGAATTACCATAACAATCTCAAACAGGAAAGCTGGGTTGCCACGCTGGTAATAAAGCTGTGAATAATTCAACACGTGGGTGTGGTCTCAAGCAGGTGAGTCGCCCAACCAATGGATGGTGCGGTTTGCTTTATGTAAATTTCACTGTTATTCCTTTCTTTTATGATTTCACTTGTAGCACAAGTATATGATTATGTATGTCATCACGGGTAAGTGGACGATGATTGGCGCCATCTGGTAGACGAGCTACGACGCGTCATGTAGTTTGTGCCGATATTGCCTTGGAGTGAACGCTGTACTGTCCAACCATGTAGGACGATCGGGCGGGGAGTACGCCGAGGCCCCAGCGGGTAGCCAGCAGGCCGCACGCGCTGCGCGTGGCCGGATGACTTCCTTGTTTGTTGGACGTGCCAGCTTGATTATACGCAACATTACATGCGCACGTGTTATGACCATATGCAAATCGGGAGCTGCGCTGATTACAAAACTTGTCGACACGTTTCGCAGCTGATCTTTTGCAAACACAAACAAGACTCTCTTTCAGGCAAACAAAAATGACTCCAGTTATTTACGGCAAAACCACAATTGCTAAATTTGACCGGTGATGTGTACTTTTTTTCAAACGTTTGATTACATTCTGACATTTGCGATATAGAAGCCCGTTGTTTTTATCTAAAGATCAGGTAAAAATTGGGTGAACACATCGCTATCTTGCAGTTGAATCGAAAAGTGGTTTGGGAGATCGAGCGATCTCAAGCATACAAGTAAGAGTGTTTATCCCCAAAAGAAAAAAGAAAAAAAAGAAGTCAAGGTTTTTATGGTTTGATTCACTGAGAGGTTTCTTGCCATGCACGCAAACGATATCCGCTGGTAACGAAGGAAGTCACTCCATGCATGCGGTCCCATACAGAAAAGGTCAGTGTTCTTTCAGCAAAACGAAAACAATTCACATGCATCCCTATGAGAATTGTTTTCGTTTTGCTGAAAGAACACTTAAAACCTTGTTTATGTTCAAAATTCCTTAACTTGAAAAGTGCCTGAGTGATTTGAATGATTCTTGTACTGAGAGAAAGCTCAATGACTGAACTTTCATACCCTACATTTTGGAAGTGCATGCTACAGGCAAAATTTCATTCGAAAATTGGTCCTGCCATTTGGGTTTCGGTTTTTTTTTTACTCACCTGTATAGTCAATGGTCGCTAGTGCCCACAAGTTTGATCTTCAGACCATTCTTCCCAGAACGCTGAGGGCGCTATGTACATAGGCTCTGAGTGTGGAATAGTCTGGTTCCCAGACCAAAAGATTCTGACTATTCCTGATGAATCTTAGGTCAGACAGCCTCCGTGGCTTAAAATATACATGACGACATTGATGGCCCTTTTTCAAAGCTCGGCTTCGTTTCCGATTGCGCTTTATCATTTTAGCTTTTAATGTTCTGATTAAATTTTTAAGTAAATCACTTGCTTCGTAATATCATACAGTTATGATAATGCAGTTTGATGTTTCTGTAAGATAACATTGACTAATGTTGATCTGGAATCTTCAAAAATTAGGCATCCAAATAGCACTGTTAGCAGGCGGAGCCGAATGAAGACCGAGTTTTGGAAAATCTCAGTAACGGTCGTCAAATTCAAAATTGTACATGACGCAGCAAACAGTTCGCCCATACGATCCGAGTATATTTGATGCACAAAATCGTCGTTGAATTTCAAGTTTTCTAAATGAAAGCAATGAATATTAATTATCAACTCATTTTAAAAATAAATGTAATAAGCAATTAGCAGTTAATTAAACCTATATTATATTCGGAAATACTCGGGCACTATCCGATTGTGACGAAACGAATTCGGCAAACTTCGGAAATTTTCGGAAAAAGGAGGAATTCCTCACGTTTTAGTCACGTGACGTAAATTGTAATACAATGTATTACCGGAGGCTACCGGACCTAAGATTCATTAGGAATAGTCAGAATCTTTTGGTCTGGGAACCAGACTAAGTGTGGAAGTCCAGTATGCTGTTATAATATGGTTGTCATGTTTCTACATTGAAGTCTGTCAAACTTCTTGTTTGAAAATGTACAGATCCCTCATGCTTTCCAGAAGCAAAAAAGGCCTAGACGAAGCATTCTTGAGTTGATGAGTTTGGATTCAGATCCCCTGCATTTCATTCACGGACGTATTTGTCATGCAACACGCTCCACATATCCTACACGCTGTACGGCTGTTCGCTACATAATCGTCAGCATGGGACCCTTCAACCAGAGAAGTACTTGAAGTGTTCCTCAACCCGTATACTTTTGAGCAGATGATGCGGGGGGGGGGGGACAGTGTAATGTCTGTGTCCATCAGATTCTAAGATACAGGATCTTAAAGTGGGGAAAATCCATGATTTTACTAGAAAATGTTGGGATGGGGAAATGCCGCCTAATCACTGCTTCACCCGCCTGTGTTTGAGTTAGTGCAATTTTTCTCGTGTTGCTGAAGTGTTTCGCACACTCGTTTGCTTTTCAGTCTGCCTATCCATTGATAGATCATTGATAGATTATCCCAGTTTTTCCACTTTTTCTTCACCCGCCTAATCATTTCCACGATGTGTCCAGTCCTTCAGTCTTAATTCAATGTCGGCAGTGGTCATCACTTATTATTATAGTCGGGACAAAATACCCACCAGGAAAGGCCATGAATCCAAACCAAAATCAAAACAGAGAAAGAAAATCAAAGAAAAAAGTGCTCAGTGCTTTGCCTACGGCGTAGGTAGCAGCTAGACTGCTAATCTCCCCGACACGCCCGGAACGAAATTCATTTACTTTGTCCGCTAGACGGAAGGCCTTCTAAATGTAAGCCTCGTAGCATTATGATCACTGTACAGTTTTCGCTCATTGCTCGGCGAGCGGCCTTTCGCCAGGGACTTCGGCCGGAGTAAACCGTGCCGAGTAATTTGTCTGCCCGGTGAGCTCGTCCGCAGACCGGGGATTGCAGACCTCATGGCCCAGGGGAATGGGACGATCCTGCAGGGGAAGACGAGTATAGGAGACAAGTCCAAACGGCAAGAGAAATTCGCTGTATTAATCCACACCGCTGAATGATTACTTGTAAAATGATTACTTTTTTGATGAGATATGAGTAGGCACTGATTGCGCCGTACCGCTCTGTACCTGGGATTAAAAGATCGTGCCCCCTCGCTCCATCAAGAGTCTGAGGTCTATTCATTATTTAAATATAATCATCGACTTTTGAAAGAAAAGCATTTGCTTCATTTAGTCGCTCGCATATGTAAGCAATTGTCATTTGGTTGGATTTCTTCCTCACGATGAATAGGCTAAAAAAGTTCCACATTATGGCATGAAGTTCCAAAGAATATTGCCAACTTCTGGTCGGAATACAGCTTGAAGGCTATGCTAACTGCTCATATCTTTAAGACAATGACAAGCAAAAGCCAAACAACCCAGCTGCCAGAAACAATTAATGAATAACCGGCAATTGGGCAGCAACAGAACTACCAACAAAATAACATCATATACATGGGCGGATCTAGCTTTCAGGAAACGGGGGGGGGGGGTTGATACGTGGAGGGGGCTTGAGTGAAAGGCGTGTCGGCTTCTACGCTGCTTTCTCCTGCATTCTAAGGCAATTAGAGAATACATTTAGCATTTCATTTAGTATTTTGGGCCCCATTTTACTAGTTTCATAACATTAGTCAGCGGATGAACGGGGTGGGGGGGGGGTGTTGCAACAATATGGAGCTTAGAAACAGCTGTTGTCGTTTTTATTCTTTAAAGTTGTGCTTTGTCATAATTCCATTTTCTTTTTCCGAACGAAATGTAAAGGAGTATAATGTCCTGTAGAAAATAAACTTGCAGTTTTAAAAAGTGGTTTTAAATGGCGCTCTCCAATTTAGAAATTGCGCAGACTATTCAGAACGAATTAGGATTCAAAAGTTGGAATTAATTAACTGATTACTTGTCGTGGGCTGATTATTTTCGTGATATGTTTCATTGGATCTGGAAAGCTCATAACTAGTGTAATGCTAGAAAATTATCAAGTCGATTTGAAAATCTATTTTTCAAGGTGCCACACCAAAATAGCACGTCTAACCAATAGTACAGTTTCATAAAAGTGCCAAATGTCACTTTTTAAAGATGAATATGGCCTATATCGCGTTTTAGAAATAAACTTTTCATGTGTAACCTAATCTGTGAATACTAATTCAGATTGTTATTTGAAATATTGGTAAAGTTGAAAGCTAGATCCGCATTGTAAATAAATAAAGAATCAATGCAATGTCTTTGAGAAAAAAACACATTTGTAATGCCTGATATTACAGTATATTTCAAAAATAAATTCAAACTTATAAGTAGTTCTGCCGTTATTGCTTGAACTGTCCCGAGAAGGGGGAGTGTGGCCTAGTGGTTAGGGTTTGTGGCTCATGATCAGAGGGTCAGGGGTTCGAATCCAGCTGCTGGCCATATGTTGAGTCCTTGGGCAATCCACTTCATCCCACTTGCCTCTCTCCACCCAGGAGTATCAATGGGTACCGGCATTAGCTGGGGAGTAACCTGCGATGGAATGGCATCCCATCCAGGGGGAGTAGAAATATTCTCAGTCGTTTCATGCTACTGAAACCGGAGGTTCGTGACAGACTTTACTTTTTTGTACTTATGTGCGTTACCAATTCCCAGCCCGTCACTTTTAAGCTTACAAACGCTTTTTTTTTAACGCTGTGATTCATACACGTCGGCGCTAAGCTCAATATTAACATGACACGACAAGGTGTATCCATGGGCGTCGCCAGTATTTTTTTGAAGAGGGCGGCAAAGCTCTCAAAATCTTTGTACTTTCTTTAGCATATTCGCAATTGATAATTTTTTTCGAGGGTTGGTTGGGGGGGGGGGCACATTTTTCCCACTCCACCCTCATTGACACGCCTGCGGATGCCCATGTTGTTAAATGTACATTAAATTAACAGCATTCATATGACTTCGCCCCTCGTCTTGTTCCCTTTTCTTTTCCCCCTCCTTTTTGTGTGTGCTTTTTCAAGCCCCCCCCCCACCCCTCGCGACGCCCATGGGTGTATCATGGCTGATTATTGTCTGTGTCACAATCGCAAGGCTTTGATATCGCTCAAGAAGGTGTCGACCCTACCTCGACCCGTTTAATACCCCGCCATACTCGTCTCAAACCCCACTGTCCATCAGACTAAGTATCCCTCCACATCCTACCCGTATTCTTCTAATCATAAAGGCCTTTTGTCCTGTCCATCGTCAATTCCCTCTCCGTCCGGCCCCTCAAATGCCTCGGTA